GGAAAAAAAAGGTTCAGTTGGTCACCCTAGATATGGCAGAGACTCAGTGGACAAATCTCCACTCCCTCTCTTGCCAGGAAGTCTGTTCCGGTTGTGTAGCCTCAACTCCAGCCAAAATGACCAGGGGTCAGCTTATGGGGCACCTGCCAGTGGTGACACCTCCACGTGTAGAAAGATATGTCTTCCTAGGCCCTGGTTGCAAAATGGAGAAGACTTTTCTCTGGTTGCCTGGGAACAGAGGGAGAGGCCTTGACTCACAGGCCCCCAGAGAAGGCACAAAGAGCTTGACCTTCAGAATACTCTCTCTGCTACAGGAGCTGTCTAGACTGATGCCCAGAAAGCTTGACAAGGGTGGGTTATTTTCCCAACAAATCCAGCCTGCCAAGCAAGAGCGAGAAGACAGGTGGGTCTTGCCTTCTGGTCTGGGGTCCTGCTTACTTTTCTAGGGACAGGTGTAATCTTCCCATCAGGAGAATCACTGTGAGCTGAGTACCAGCAGCCTCCCAGGCAGGGAGCTCAGTGCCTTCCCGTGCGTGGTCCCATGCTTAAGCCTTATGTCGCCCTGTGAGCCAAGCTTATTAACCCCATCTCAAAGCTGAGAAAGCTAAGACTCAAGGATGACAAGAGCTTGCCACCAGCTAGTGACAGGTAAAACCAAGATGCCAACCTGAGCCTGACCTGGCCCTCTCCACTACACCATCTGCCTCCACTGCTGCTCTGGGATGCCGTCCCGAGCCGCCCGATGTGGTTGGGCTCTGTGCAGAATGGAAAGACAATAGGGTGGGCTCCACAAGGGGATGGCCAACAGCCTCTGGTGTCCCAGGGGAAGCAACACAGCATCTTGGTTACGTATGAACACTGTGGGTTCAAATCCCAGTCTGCCATATACCAACTGTGTGACTTAACTTCTCTCTGTCTCTCTCTGTTTCCTCCTCTGTCAACTGAGAGGAAGGTAAGAGTGCCTGCTTCCCAGGGCTGCTCTGAGGAGTCTATGAGTGTGAAGCCTCTTGAACAGCACACGCTTGTGATAAGTGCTCAGTAAGGGCAGCTGCTAGGATTACCAGTCCCCACGTGGGTGGAGTCTTGTTGTATTCACACTGGCGATGCTAAGCAGCTGTCATTTGGAAATATGGACAGGCTCTGAGGACACGGGCCACCATCCCACGGGCCAGGTGTGTGTGTTCGAGGCCCTCAGATCCAGAGCTTCCATGAGTCACAGTGCCCTTCCCACCTCCCGGGGACCTGGTGTGATGGTCATCTGCCTAGTGCAATCCCAGGGCCCCACCGGCTGCTTTGGCTTCTCCTCCCTGGAAATCCATGCCCGGTGCAAGGACGCAGCTGAGCTGAAAGCCTGGCTATACCTCCTTGCGCTTCACACCCATGTGAGTACAGAGCTCAACCCAAGCCCTGCTAAGCCACAGCCTCCTGAGATGCTCTGCCTCAACAAGGGCCACCCTGGAGCCCAGAAAAGCCAAAGCAGTGGAGATCAGGAAGCCCCATGCTGTTTATACAGCCCCAGGGGTGGGACAGTCACATGGGTTCCCAGGCAGTGCTCCACACCTGTGCTACCTGGAAGGGGTTTCCCTCTCTGATAAAGATCTATTAATAATGAGGCTAATGGTACCAGCCATCACTCACTGAGCACTTAGCACCTGCCAGACCCTGTGCTAAGCTCTCTCCATGCATTCTCTCCTTCACTCCTCACAAGAACTTTATGAGATCAGCATCACCAATATCCCCATTTAATAGATGAGGAAACTAAGGCTTAGAGTGTTTCAGAAGCCTGCCCCCTGCTCCAGCCCTCCTGTACCCTCCTGGCTCTGACCACCCATGGCAGTGACTTATGGTTGATCCATTGCCCCCACCCCCATTCACTGATGTCCTCAAATTGTCTTGTGTTTCAGCCCAGGGAGACCGTATGTTCTTGGGGGCAAGGACCGACCTCATACTTCTTTTGAAATCTATATAGCATCAAGCACAGTGCTGGGCTTCTGGATGTCTTAGAATGAATGAATGGGTGAACGATTTAATTAATGCTTTTGTCCATGGTGAATTGTGCTAGGTAAGGAAGGAAAGAAAGGATTTTGAGAGGGAGGAAGCATAAAAAGGGAGGGAATGAGATGGGAAGGAGAGAAAACCTGTGTAGGGAGCTGGGAGGGACAGATCCGACCCAAGTCAATCTTACTATGCCCACTCTTGCAGATGAGGAAACCGAGGCTCAGTGATGGAAAGAGTTAGGCATCTCTGTATAGGTGAGCAGCACCTGCCCAGACTAACCAGCCCCTTCGTCAGAGAACAAAGTATTCTCTGGGCCAAAAGCCATTCTGCCCAAAGGGAGATGAGCCCATAAGCCAATTCAGTGTGAAAGGTGTGGCTAAAAATTCTTGATAAGTTGTTTGTTTGTTTTCCAGATAATTTTATAAAATACGTAAGTAGTTTCAAAGCAATGAAATAGCCTAGAAATTGTTCTGGTCTATTTCCATTCTATGCAGCATTCTCTTTAATAGAACAAAATAATTACCTAGAACCCCCTGTCAGCGAGAATTAGTGATGTTTAGCAAGTATCCTAATAACTTTCCCTATAGGACCTTTGCGCTCTGCTCAGATGGGGTCTCTGCTGTCCCCAGAACATGACATGGTTTTACTTGGCCATGCCCTCACACATCCTTTGCCCTCCTTCCTCCTGCTTCTAGCCAACTGTCAAGGTTTCCGTCGATTCTAAATCTCCCCTAAGCCTTCCCTGGTCACCCACAAAAGGACCTGACAGCCTACCCACACCCACGCCTGCCATCCCTGTTGCCATGCGGTCATATGTGGGTTGGTCTCCACAACTGGACTGTCGGTTCCTTGGGGACTGTGCCTATTCTTCACCGTTTGGTCCAGCTGCTTCTCCACCCCTGCTTCTCCCTAGATGAGCCCCTGCATTAGCACTGGGTTTTCCATGCACGGGGCATGCAGGACACATCTGTTGATTGAAGTCTGCCACTTGCTGTGTCAATGCCCAGTCCACAACAGTGTTGAATTCTGGCGTGCACGCCAGTTAGTGATTTAAACTAGAACTCAATTGAGGGTGTGTGTGCGGTTGAGAGTAGGAAGGATTCCTTAACCAATGCTGATGCTCTGAACAAGTTAATAAAAAGCGAGACAAAGCTACGTAAATAAATCACCTACAGCACACGGGGCTGTTTGAGTGCATGAGGCTGTGAATGCACTCTGTAAACTGTAGAGTGAATATAAAAAGAGACTGCACTGCCTGGTTCAAGGAGTTGACAGTGTGGTTATTTGTCAGGTCACAGCCCTGTGTGGTCCGTCTGCCTGCTCCGACACAATAGCCAGATAGTTCAAGCTGTAGCCAGAACAGAAGGCTCAGTCCACTCCCTGACCCCTGACTGTTTCCATGTATCAACAAACAGGGGTGATGCGCTCTGCATGCCCAGCTGCCCACCTCTCATGGTCCTCAGCCTCAAGGCGTGAGCCAGGAATCACAGGCTGCAAGCCCCAGAGCAGGAGAGCACAGCACAGAGAGCATCGGGGCATGGTGACGGTGACACCATGTGGAAGGGCCCTCCCGCCTGCTTTTGCCCCAAAGCCAAGCAGGTTCTCTGAGACCAAGGCCTTCAGGTCCACTGTCCAGCTCCAAGGGTGCTGCTGACCGATGGCACAGGCCCCGCCAGTGTCCTGACGTATAATGAAGCGAAGAGCTTGGTCCCACCCAGGTTTCCCATTACCCCTCTCTCAGACTGGGGACTCTTCATTTAACACCAACACTTGTAGCTACTACTTCCTGAGTGCTATACACGCATTGTCCCATTGAGCCTCCCGCCAGCCCCATTTCACAGATGAACCAGCCAAGACTAGAATGGTCACATGACATGACTGAGTGCCCACCACCAAGCACGGAGCCAGGCTTAGCTCCTGATGCTCCAAATCTGCCCACGTGTGCCTTCCCCTCAGGTGTGAGATGTGTTTGCTACACCTCTGGTTGAGCACCAAATTCCTGGTGACATAGGCAGGGCCAGGTCTTTACTATGGCGGCATGAGGCTCCGGTAAGAGTACAGAGGCAGAAGAGACAAACGCGGAGCGAGGTGAGAACCTGTGTGCTGGGAAGAGCACCAGAATTAGAATCCAAGTAGCTGGGTAATGGCCTTGTCTCTGATACTTACCACTCTGTGGCCTGGGGAAATTCACTGCCCTCTCTGGGCCTGTGTTCTCAACTGAAGAACGAGGCAGTAGACCAAGAAGGCGTGGGGGCTTCCGAATTCTCACAGGCCACGCTCCTTTGATCAGAGGAGTAGGAGGCCTGGCATGGTTAGGTGCCAGATGGACACGGCTCAGCCAGTGGAATCCGGGGCACTGAACTCTGCCCCATCGCGAGGTCCCCCACCCTGCTCTACATCTGACCACCCCGCTACCACCAACTTCTCTGTCCCCGCCACCCTTCACTTAAGCTCTGTATCCAGAGTTGGGGACATGGATTCACCTCCCACCTTCATCTCCCAGCTCACCCCAACTGCTCTCCCTGAGGTGGTTAGTCCAGGCTGGCAGCCTGGAGTTTGCCGCTCCCTAGTTGGTCCTGGAACCCCTTCTCCTGAACTGTCCCCAGTGTCAGGTCACTGCCATGGGTGGTCAGAGCCAGGAGGGTACCGGTGAGTGAGCAGAGTAACGGGAGCTGGATGAGGGAGAAGTTGAAGGGAAGGGAGATATAATGACCAGATCCAGGCAAGGTGACCAAGGAGGACTGGCCTGGGAGCCTGTGCCTCCTCTGGGGTCACCCCAGGTGAGTATCCATGGTCAGGGCCGACAAGCCCGTGGGTCATGGCCAGCACCCGTCCTGATTGGGTCAGTGTCTGTTCTTGCGGACCAGGGCCCCATGATTAAATATTTTAAATTACACTCTCACTTCCTACCACTCAGAGCCAGAGAAGACAGACCTGAAGTCAAAACCCACGACTTTACTGCAACCTCTGATCAAACGCTCGCATGAGAATAGAAAGAGTCAAGTTTGCTATGCCAAGAAAATACTTTATTGGGTAAATTTCCAGGGAAACCTAGTTTTGCATGCGCGAAAGCAGTTAAGTCCAGAAACACAATCTGAGAAGTATTTTGGTAGAAAAACCTGCTGAGCGGGAAGCCCCTCTAGGGATGGGGGGATCATTAAGAGCTGGGAGACACAGGGGTGTTCTCCTCCCTGTGGGCCGAGGCCTGTCCCGGTGGGCCGGGTGGCCGGTTACAGCGGGCAGGGCTGCATGTGCTCCCTGGAGCAAATGACTTTCCCATCTCTGATCTCCTCGGTGATGGTGCGGATCTGGGTGCCGACCTGGGAAGCCGAGGCGCAGGGCATGCTCGAGACATAAGGAACTCTACTGGCGGGCTTGCATTCTGTGGCACAAGGGTGGGCAGGCAGCCTGAGGAAATGAAATTATATCAGGGTGTGTGTGGCATCGGGGCATCGGACTGGCGTCCAGGTTAAACAGATTCAGGTGAGTGATAACAACAAACGGCCTCAGACAGTGCCTCTGAAATCCCCAAGAGCTGCAGGGATGAAGACTAGAAACTCCCAGCCAAAAACAATGGTTAGAGAAGTGTTATGTGTAGGGCCGGCTTATCCACCTGTGAGTGAACAAAGCCTGAGGCTGGAAAGAATCTCTCTCAAGAGGCTTTGGATCAGTCCCCCTTCATCTGTGCAATAACCACTTTCAGGACTAATGCAGCCACCAGGGCACTGAGGGTGGGTCTAGGTGAGCCCTCTCCCCAAGCATGGCTCCCCAGGGTCCACAGCCACTCACTTGCAGTCTTCTCCTTCCAGCAGGCGGCGGTAGGTGGCAATTTCAGACTCCAGCCGGGCCTTGACATCCAGGAGGACCTGGTACTCGTGGTTCTGCCGCTCTAGGTCCAAGCGGATCTCGGCCAGCTGGGACTCCACGTTGCTGATCAGGCACTGCATCTGGGCGAGCTGAGAGCTGTAGCGGGCCTCCGTCTCTGCCAGGGTGGATTCCAGAGAATTCCGCTGCAGTGGGAAAGAGAGAGAATTGCCAAAGGGAGGAAATCCCACCCAGACACCCACAGCCCTGGGGTTCCGAGTGGCACTGCGATCACGCCCCATGATCACACCTACGAGCTGAGGCTGGAGGATCAGGAGGCCGGCCTGCCGAGAGCAGTCGCCAGCCACTCAGGCAGGGCCCACTCACCATGCTATGCTGGGCCTGCAGCTCGATCTCCAGGGCGTTGACCGTGCGTCTCAGCTCGATGATCTCCGTCTGGCAGCACTGCAGCTGCTCCGAGCTGGACACCACCTGCTGGTTCAGCTCGTCGGTCTGAGAAACATGAGGGCCCAGAGTGTGGTCAGACTAAGGGAAGCTACTGCCAAGGGTGACCACACCCCAGGAGCTGGTGGTCCTGGGCTGCCCCCAGCCCCACCTGGGTGTTGAACCAGGTCTCCACGTCTCTACGGTTATTCTCCACCAGGGCCTCATACTGGCATCTCATATCATCCAGGATCTTGTTGAGATCCACTGGGGGGGCGGCATCCACCTCCACATTCAGTCGGTCCCCGAGTTGGCAACGGAGTGCGTTGACTTCCTACAGAGGAGGCAAGATGGCATAAGGTGGTGAAAAGGATGCTGGATGGGGGTTGAGGGGTTCAACTGACCTAAGTTCAAACCTCCTCCCTCAGTTGCCAGCTGTGTGACATTAAGCAGAATACTTAACCTCTCTAAGTCTCAGTCTCTTCGTGGCCTTATACCGACCTCCTCAGAGGATTTAGGAGAATAAAGCGAGATGACGCAAGCACCAGGCAAATAGAAGTGTCATGTACTACAGTCCAAATGGAGATGTGGTGTCATGGGCACAAGTGTCGGATCTGTGTGACCTTAGGCAAGAGACGGAACCTCTCTGTGTCTTAGTTTTCTCATCTGTAAAATGGAGCTTGTAATAGTATATCCCTACTGAGATTAAGGATGAAATGAAATAAAATGAAAACGAAATGCAGAATGTTTTATATAGTTCTTGGCACGCAGTAAGTCAACTCAACAAATGTCAGCTGAAGTTACTGTGAAAGTGGTTGTCACAGTCGTTATGCCCAAGGAGCAGTTGGTAGTGGCTCCCCACTGAACAGGGAAATTGGAAGGTCGCATGGCATCATCCTCACCTCTTCATGGTTCTTCTTGAGGCAGAGCAGCTCCTCCTTCAGAGACTCCACCTGGGCCTCCAGGTCAGCCTTGCACAGGGTCAGCTCGTCCAGGATCCTGCGCAGGCCGTTGGTGTCGGCCTCCACCAGCTGCCGCAAGCCCAGCTCCATCTCATACCTGCACACAGGGAACCCCGACAAGTCTGCAGCTCCCGACCCTACTGTCTAGCTGCAGTGGCTGGTTCCGGATCAGCAGCAGGTGGTCCTTTCTCTTGACCCAGAAGGGATCCAGGGCCAATGCCGCATTTCCACTTACAGCTCCATCTGGCCTCGCTCGTACCTCACGAGCTCCCAAAGGCAGGAGACAGAGGCAAGAGAGCAGCACAGAAACCTCCCCCGATCGGTCCCACTCACTTGGTCCGGAAGTCGTCGGCAGCCAGCTTGGCGTTGTCGATTTGCAGGACCAGCCTGTTGTTCTCAGCCTTGGTCAGCAGGACCTGAGAAACAAGGGGAATCCCATGAACTGGGGAAGGCCCGGAGGGTGAAGGCAGTGTGAGCAGGTAGCTCAGCTCACAGAGGCCAAGCCTCTAAGTACCACCAGCACCTTTAGCATTTCCAGCCCTCAGCCCTCAGCCCACGTATGAAGGGAGCATCAGTTCTAAAACAGACATCACAAGAATGTTATCGGCCATCTTTCCTGATGTCCTTAGCCCCCCAAGTGTCACAGTAAGATATACCAAGGTGAATAGAGAGAGCCAGGCCGACCTGGAGTCAGGCTCTGCAACCAACACTGAGCGGCTGTGTGATCTTGAGCAAGTTACTGAACCTCCCTAAAATTCAACTTCTACATTTGTTAAATGGGTCCAGTAATACCCATCTCTCCAAGATGAGGAATAAACGAGCCACGGAGAGAAATGTGTCAGGCACAGTGCCTGTGTCCAGTAGGGGCTTGGTGCGTATTGTTGCCCTTCCTATAACTGAGACAGCAAAGGAGGGGAGGAATGGCTGGCAACAGGTTATAAGTAGCAGAAATGTCTAGGTCCTCCCAGAAATCAAGACTCTAGAGAGAAAAGCTTACCTTGACAGGAGAATTCCCTATGAGCTACAGTCCCATCTGTAGTGCCTTGGGAAGAGACAGACCCCTCCCAGAGGCTGCGCTGCCCAGCTAGAGAGAGGTCAGATGTGCCCAGCGGGACAGGGGCCAGGTCCCCATTACCTTCTGCTGGAGATCCTCGATGGTCTTGAAGTAGGACTGGTAGTCTGGACAGATGTACGGGATCTGAGACTCATACCACTGCCGGATGCGGCTCTCCAGCTCTGCATTCTCTCGCTCCAGCTGGCGCACCTTCTCCAGGTAGTTGGCCAGGCGGTCGTTCAGGAACTGCATGGTCTCCTTCTCGCTGCCATTGAAGGTGCCCTCACAGGACCAGCCCCCGCTCCCAATGAAGCCAGAGGGGTAGCACCCAGCAGACAGGTAGGAGCCAGGCAAGCAGCTCCCAAGGCTGGAGAGGCCCATCCTGACTGAGGAGGCAGACCCTGCAGCACCAGCAAGACTGGGGACCCTGCAGGAGCCCACAGAGCGGACAGAAGACACCCGAGAGATGCCACCTGCTGTGCCACAGTGGCCCTTGATGGATCCAGAAGAGAAGACTGAGGAGCAGATCTGAGTGGCCATGATGATAGCAGAAGAAGTTTGCAGATGAGCAAGTAGCTGGGATTCTGGGCTCTCAAGGCCTCTCTGGGGCATTTATATACCTTCTTCATAGGGTGTTGGCGTGTTACTCTTGAGAAAGCCTATTCCTATTCTGGAAAGCTAATCTCATCAGAACGTGATTTTGGCTACCCATCCAGAATTCCCGGCCTTGTAAAAAAAGAATGGTTGAATTTGGTTTGCTAAGTCAGGACTCTCGGCTATTGTGACTTCCTAGCAGAATATGAATTTTATTGCCTCTTCAAAGTCTTTGCCCAGATCCCATAATTCGGGAGTGGCCTCACGAATGACATTTGGTTCCTGCCCTGTCTGCGTGCCTTCCGCTGAGGAGCCCCGTCTGTCCATTTGTCACCTCCATCCACTACCCCACCCTGCCTAGCTGCTCACCTGTACCTGGGCCACTAGGATAGTGAAAAGGGAGAAAAGAGAACTAAAATTCATGAAGCACCTACTATGTGCCTGGCTATCGTTGTTTCATTTACACACCGCAATAGTCCTGGGCGGTAGCCAATATTGTCTCCATTTTACTAGTGTGGAAATTGAGGTTCAAAATAATTTGTAAAAAGCTTGCTCAAGTTGAACAGGCAGTGAGTAAAAAGCTTGGATCTAAAACCAGGGCTCTCAGACCCAAAATTCCGTCCCCTTGTCCCGCTGCTTCCCCCACACAACCAAGGGCAAGTGCAGGCACCCAGAATTCAGGGACGGGAGACCTAAATTTAAATCCTGGCTCTGCAGATGATCTGCCTTATGATGCTGAGCACGTTGCTCCCCTCTGGCATCCTCAGTGTCCTCATCAGGACAGTAGAGATCACCAGACTGCCCTGCCTGCTTCGCGCAGATACAAGGAGGGCGGAAAGTCAGAAGTGGAAGTGTTTCGAAAAACATCGGTGCTGTAGAGATGTTAGTGAGGCTAAAAGGATAGTCTTCGATGGTGGTTTACAACTGTGGCTGGCAAAGGAGGAGACCTCGAATACAGCTACTTTGGAGGGCAGTTCCCTTTGAGGCCCCCTGGTCTCTGAATCTAGGAGGGTAGAATCAGAACCCTGGCTCGGCCTGCTCTGATGCCCCTGGCCCCTGAACAGAGTACAGAGATGGTCATTGCAGACTCTTTGGACAGGAAAATAAGAAGAAGAAACAAAGCACTGCCAGATAGTTAAGCTAGCCAGGAAGAGAACCTGAGAATTAAGGAGCAAAGGTAAGTGCGGTCTTCCGCTTCGCCACGCGGGCTTTCCCGGGCGTGGGCAGCCTGCTCACTCTTCTCCCACTCAGACTTGGTTTGCAAGGCTGGCGTTTATGGAAGCATTTATGTGCTTCTGGAGCTGTAATTTACCAACCTCTTAAAACACTTTATAAGCTTCTCTCTGAAATTACTCAGGAGGATTGGCTGCGGTGCACAACACCTCACCCAGGGCAGTGGACACCTTGACAGGATGCCTGAGAGCAGCCTGGTGGGCTCCCCGGGGACACGCACCGCGCAGCCCCTCCTGGGAGTGAGTGGAAGCAGCGGGCCTCCAGGGCCCCAGCTGCCTCGGCAACCGTTCCTGACGGCTGCCCATCTTCCCTGCTCTCCTAGCAGGGCCTAGAATAGGGCCGCCTCAAGGTTTCTCAGACTCAGTACTGTTCATATGGCAGACTATATAATTCTTTATGGTGAGCGTTTCCTGTGCATTATACAATGTTAGCTGCATCCCTGGAGTCTATCACCAGGTGCCGGTAACGACCCCCTCCCTGAGCTGTGACAACCAAAAATGTCACAAGACGTTGCCAAATGTCCACTGGGGGGCAAAACCATCCTCAGCTGAGACCCACTGGACTATCAGGGCAAGGACCGGGGCTCTGATCAGACCTCCTATAAGCACCTCCTTTGTTTTCTAGGACAACTAGTGCAGAGTCTGGCAGTCACTGTGGGGCCCATGCAGGCAAGTCTTTAATATACCCATGCCTCAGTTTACCTCATTTGTGACAAATCATGTTTGTCCTGTGGGCATTAGTGGCCCAGAGTCCAAGCAGGTGTCTCCAGGGCTGAGGAGGGAATGCACCTCTGTGGGAGCAGGTGACCAGCTGGGTCTTCAGTAGCCCTCAGTCCCCTGCCTTGCTCCATGCGGTAGACTGCAAGGCCACCTCCCAGACGGAAGTGCGGAGGGGCCTCATGGGAGGGATTCCTCTGCTCTCTTCTACCCAGAAGCCTGGACCTTCGTGGAATGAAGTCCGCCCAAGAGGAAGAGAGGCTGCTCTGCCTGTATCAGAGAAGAGAAACCAGGACCCACAGAGCTGCTCATCTCCCAGGGCAGCTCCAGGTGATGGTCTGCCTCGCCCCCTGTGGTGACTCGACTCTGGAGAAAAATCCATCCAACTGGTGTCAGGTTAATCAGGGCTGCCTGCCACACGAGAGCAGTGGCCTGGGCTTCCTCCTGGCCTTGCTTCACAGCAGAGGCAACGGTAACCCACTTCCCAAGGCTGTTCCCCGGAAGGGCCCATTCAGAGGTGCAGTGTCGCCAGGATGTTGAATGGGAATCCCAGCATGTCCAGGTTGAAATAACATCTCTAGTCAACTAAGCCAAGGACTTGGCTTTGCAGAAGAAGGAGCTCAGAGGGTGTCAGGCTGGACAGCAGGGGCCCTGGGCCTGGACTCAGCTAGACCTCAGTTCAAGTTCCTCAATCCCTCTGAGCCTCAGTTTCCCAAGAGGTGAATGGAAATCATAACATCACATTGACAGGACTATGTGAACAGTGCTTGATAAACAAGAACTCATTTTGCAGATTTTTGAGATCAAAATTGAACCCATGTATTTTGAAATCTAGTCAAACATTGTTTCCGGCACACAAACCATTTAGCCTGGTTTTATGGGATACTGATTGCTCTGAATACTGGGTCAGGATACTGATTCCTGACCCAGACGTGCAAGGAAATACAGTTGTTCAGAGAAGTGGTGACTGGGACTGTATCCAGAGCTGCAGAGACCCCATCAGCTAGGACTCTCTGTCTAGCCTTTGACCTTTACTCTAGAAGCTTCCAAAAGCCCCCCATCCCCACTGCAGGTGCAAGTGCTGGTTTAGGGCTACAGACCTAACAGGAGGCTCTCTGCCCACCTGGCTCCAACTTCAGGGACAGGGAGGAGGGGAGATGCTGCTACAGGAATAGAAAACACTCTGGCTTTTCCCAAGCTCATCGTGAAAGGGCACTAAGTTCAAAATCAACCACTGAGATTGTGGCTCCTTCTTTGGTAAAAAGAAGTCTCTGCCCTCAAGTGAGTTTCCCTCTGGAAGCCACGGTTCTTCATGAGTAAAGGACCCAAGAAGTCAAGCCTAAGTGTCCTTCTGCCCAGCTCTGAACAGTCCTTTTGATGCAGAAGGCACCAGGAACAGCCTGTCACAGCGTGCCCAAGAAGGAAATGGGGTCTCCAGGCTGGGTCCCTGTTTCCCCGCTTCTCTGGACTGTGGTCAGAGTGTCTCAGCCACCACCATACTACAGTGTCCCAAAGGCATTGGAGGAAACAGACAGTGGACCATGGGACAGCCAGGTCACCTACGACGACACCCGGGCACCAAAGGAATAAGATCATTCAAGAAGTCCATGGCTGCCTCTCTTAGAATCCTGCTGGCTTACACTTCATCTTCCTGGTTGTCCCTTCTACCCGTTCCACCTTTGACGTCCATACACACAGGTCTTGCAGAATTTCCCACCATACCAGGCATCTAAGAAATGCTGATCCCGCGTCTTAACCTCTTTAGACCCAAACCAGAACCCACTCAGAAATGGGGAGACTCACACTGATCTCACTCACCCCCACACAACTGCTTTTTCCTTGTAACAAAGAATTCGTTCAAGTGACAAAGCACATGGGATTCCTGGCCCCTCCTGGAAAAACAAGGTTACTATATATTTTGTGTCAACTGCATCAAAAGCTTGTGCCCAAACTGCTGCCAGCTGATGTGAGGTTCTAGCTCACACATGTAGTAGCAGGTACACAAATTATGGGAAGGGGGTGGAAATCTCAATTAAGACATTTCCAACCACCAATTTAATTTGTCCAGAGAACCAGAAAAAAGGTCTCACTTATTCAGTTTTGATGGCAGAACACTCAGGGCTGTTCTCGGACCTGCTAAAGCTAAGGTTGCCAGATCTAGCAAATAAAAAGATAGGTAATGTTTGGACATACTTACACTAAAAACTTATTTGTTGTCTATTTGCAATTCCGATCCAACCGAGCGTCCTGCATTTTATCTGACAATCCTGGGTGAGGAAGCATCACTGGCTAAGAGCCTTGGTCAAACAAGACACAGCTGTTCCTTCCCTCTTCCCGCTGTGGCCTGACAACATGACTGGCTGGTCACAGGGACAGGTATATCCAAGCTTCCCTTGGAAAATGGTGTCTTTCTGTCTGTCATGCCCTGTTCTCAGTGGCCGCCATTTTTGCCGTCACAGGCCCAGTAAACAGAACTTGGAAGTACAGTGCTGAGCTGTCTTTTCTGACATCCTGGCCATCTCACTGACATTCTACTCTGATGGCAAGCTGCCTTGAACAGGGTGACTCAGACCTTCCTAGGCAAGATTTGGCAAGTCCCTCTCTGCTCTATTTCTTAATCCCCCAGCCTGTGCCCCAAACTTCTACCTACCCCTTGCTGTCGCCAGGCCTTACCTGGACGTGAACCGGGTAACCAAGGTCTTCTCCGTTCCCTGGCTGCCCCTCTACAGGTCCCAGAGTCACTGCTCAGGGGGCTCAGGATGACTGACGAGTTGGCCATGGCCCTGAGCCGTAGATCCTCCCAAGACTCTGGGTGTCTGCAAGGCTCCCAGGCACCCAGCTTCCCAACGTGCTGCTCCGTGCATGAGCCTGAATCCCCACTGGGCCCCAACCTTACCCTGATCAGTCCTCCAAATTCCCCCTTTTACCAGGCCCAGAATTGCCCTGGAACTCTCAACTTCCCCAAAATACAAAGGTATTTTTTCTTTTCCCAGGGTATGGTTTTAGCTATTGCCCAGAGCTTCAGGATTCAGCTGCAAACTGCTCTTGCCATGTGGGGGGCCCAGAGAGCCACCCTGACCCCAATCTGAAGCCGTACCTCTCTGGTTTTCTCATGCCAAGCTCTGCCTTCTTGCCTACGGGCCGGCTCTTCCCGCACAGGTGTGCTGGCTGATAGCTCCCATCTGGAAGAGTCCAGGGCCTCCTGCTTGATCCACTCAGTCCCTAACTCCCCCCACCCAGCTTTTATGGCGAATCCCAGAGCTGTCTCTGCTCTCCCTGCTGTGCTTAGAGAACCTGTGATTTGTGGGAGACACACAGCCAGGCCCACTGGGACCTCAGCAATCTCCTGCGTCCCCTTGATTGAGGTACCACTTAACTGAACCACAAAGCGAATTTCCTCGTTTGATTGGGTTCCGTCGTCTGCATTTACAGGGGCTGATGTGCAGTGAATCTCACTATCTTCCTACTAACAGCAGCGTGTCTGCAAACCAGACTGTGGCCTCCAGGTTGTAATTAACTGTGCTTTATACTGTGGATTCTACTTTCAACCTGGTCTGAGATCCTTGGATGAAAGGAGCCACAGAGTTATTATGACCGTCTATAAAAATGGGCCAGAAAAGTGAACACCAGCTCTTGGCCAACTCCCCCAAATCTCCACCCCAAGAGCAGCACCTGCTCACCCACCTGATTCCTCCCAAACTCTGCAGCTTCCAGGGGAGTTGCTGAAAGCAACCTACATACCCTGCTCCACTCCAGCCACCAAAAGCCCCAGGAACACCATCCAACTGGGATTAAGTCCCCAGCAGCCCCCGAGATGCACTGAGTCAGGCAAAGAGAGACAAAGACCCCACAGGTGACGAAGGAAAACTGCTGCATAGCCCATCCGCCTCAGCCCTCCTGTGATATTTCTTCCTCCTCTTCCCCAGGCCTCCCTTGGTGGGGGACAGCAAGATTCCCCTTGCTAGGAAGGCCTAAACACCCTCATCTCATATTCTGGGTCTTCTGTGGACTCTCCAGGTTGCTGTCCCAAACAGAGGGACAACAACAGATACACCAGGGGTCTCAGGGCTGCAGCTCCGTCCTCAGCCATGCCCTGCTGGCCCCAGTGCCCAGCTGCCCAACAAGACACTGGAGATTGGACAGGGCCTTATGTAGGGACCAAGCCAGGGTAAAACCAGGTCTAGAGCCCTGTCCCTTCAATCTGTGTCCCAACGGGTGGCCTTAGAAGCACTGACTGCTCTCTGGAGTGAGCCTGCCCCCTGCAGGACCCAAGCAGGATACACAACCCCATGGGGATGGCAGGAGTACACTGTCCCATCTATCCAGGCGGAGCCTTGGGGAGAGGGAGGCATCTTTTGCTAAGGGCAAGGAGGAGGGTGACTGAAGCAGCCAGGAGTCACACAGGCAGCACAGCAATTGGCCACATTTGTGCAGCACCTGCTGTGCGAAGTCGCGTCCCTCTGGGCCTCTGAGACACTGGGATGCCACGGGAACGTTCAGTGGTTGATGTCTTTGTCCCCTAAATGTCAGGGCTGAGAAGAGAGTCTCATCTTTTTTTCCCTAGAATCCCAGAGCTGAACACTTGACTCTGACAAAGGGCCAGCCGCCCCTTGGAAAACACGCTGGGATGAGGACCCCAGCTCTCACACTGGGCAGGTCACTTAACCAGTCTGAGCGTCGGCCTTCAGATGTGTAAAATGGCATAAGTGTGCTAACTCATGGGCTTGTTGTAAAGACGAATGAAATAAAGAGTGGAAGGCACTCTGTACACAGTTAGTGCTAGATCCATTATTACTTTCGTCTCTATTTTGTATTCCTTGAGTTAACATGCAAAGTTAATGTGCTCATTCGCAAACAGTCATTGACACAGAGGTTAGTCAGGCACCAGTGGGGTGGGCTGCTTCCTCATAGCTGCAGCCCCAGGAAGGGGTGTGAGCTTGCTGTGGGCGTGGGCAGCTGGCCACCCCTGGGAGGGGCAATATCGGCCCAGCAGACCTGATGAAGCTGCCCCACTCCATACCGTTCCCCCATGTCTCCCCACAACCTGACTCAACTAGAACCGTTTGCTGCCTTATTACCACCGGACACCCTACAGAGTGTTGAACTCACGTATCTCTGCACGGCTCCGGTTTACTCCAGCTACCCAAGTTTGCTGGGCGCCACCATCCAGGAGCCACCTGTGCCCCCTGTGTTTGTCACTGCTGCACCTGGGTGCCGGAGGTTGGCCCAGGTGCCTGTATTCTTCCCCACTGGAAGCTCCCTGGACTGGACTTGTCAGGGAAACCCACTCACCCACAGCCCCAAATTGGGGTCTTGGCAGGGACCATCCTCAGAAACCAGGCCAGAATCGAAATTACGTTTGCAAAAAGGCAGGAAACTTTATTGAATTATCTTTTCTTTTAAGTAGAGAAGCTAAGAAATCAGAACAGCTGGATCAGGAAAAAAAAAAGGAAGTTGACCCAGAGAGAGAAGAGCAAGGAGTGACCGTGCCCAGGAGAGCAGGGGCCAGGCGCCTGGGGGCAGAGTGACTGAGTGTCCCCTAGTCCCTCCCCCTCTCCTGCAGGAACCTTCAGCTCATTCCTCCTCTGAGTGCTGAAGAGGATGCTAGGCAGCTTTAAGGCCTACGGGTTTCCGAAGGCCTACGGGTTTCCGAAGCGCGGTTGCTGGAACTGAGGCCAGTAGTAGCGGTGCTGCTGGTGCTGGTGGTTCCTGGGAAAGAGGAGGCAAGAGACGCTCAGACTGGAGGAAGCTCACCTCAGGCCAAATCAGGACCCCCAGGAGGACCCCAAACTCCTTCACTGGTCAGGTGACTCTATGATTGTCCCCAAAGCTGGCTCCCTCCAAGACAGCCCAGAGGCTCTTGAGGAAAACAGATGAGCAAACGACCACTTCCACCGCAGCCTCATCCACCCTCCACAGGGGAGCCTAGCACCACCTCCCTCCCCACCCCCCAGGGCAGTGAACAGGAGCCTCTCCCCCCAATATTTCCTTACCTCTTGAGGTGAAGCCAACGATCCTGGGAGAGAAGAGAGAGGCAGCCATGAGCAGAAAGCAGCTGAGGACAGCTGCTTACCTGTTCTCAGATGGAACAACCCAGACCATCGTTTGGAGCCCCTGAGTTGGGTTTGTTTTTTTGTTTGGTTGGTTTTTTTACCTAGCTGTGCCCCCAGCCTAGGGGACAGCAGCAGCAGATGGCTGCCAGGCCTGTCTGTCTGAGGCCTCAGGAGGAGATATCATTGGCCCCAAGATGCAAGGCATTTGCCAAAAGTTTTGTTTTTCCTCTGGTTCACTTAGCACCGCACCCCCCCAGACTCCTCCCCTGCACCCACAGGAGTGGCCTGGTCCCTGCAAACAGTCTGAAGTCAGCTAAATCACCATCTTAATAGCTTTGTTGGGATAACCTGAAGCCAAGCTAATATTTTTCCAATAGAAGATATTCCTATTTCTGACGGTCTAATTCAGAGGCTCGAATTAGAATGTTGAAAGGTATTGACCCTGAAACCTGCTGAGGAGATGCCCCCACAGACTGACTCAAGAAGACAGGAGAGCTCTGGTCCTGGGTCTTCCTTCGTCCAGGCTGTTAAAGCTCAGATAAGTCCCTTCTTGTCTAGGAGACAAGGCCCGATCCCTAAGACCCTGACTGCTCTGACAACCGAGGGTCCTGCGGTCACTCAAGAGAGAGACTAGCGAGGACCTACTTGGCGTCCTGGCCCTCGAGCAGGCTGCGGTAGGTGGCGATCTCCTGCTCCAGCCGCGTCTTGATGTCCATGAGCTGCTGGTACTCCAGGTTCTGCCGCTCAGTGTCAGCCCGCACATCGCTCAGCTGGGCTTCGATACAGCTGATCAGAGCCTGGATCTGTACCAGCTGTGTGGCATAGCGGCACTCCGTGTCTGCCACCGTGCTCTCCAGCCCGGCTTTCTGGTGGGGCAACAGAGAAGTTATGAGGAGAGCCAGGCCCAGGGGAGGCCTAGAGATGGTGGCTGCTGGGCAGGGGACAGCAGAGGTACCATGCTGAGCTGAGACTGCAGCTCGATCTCCAGGCCTTGGAGCGTACGCCTGAGCTCCGTGATCTCCGTCTTGCTGGTCTGAATCATAGCAGTGTTGGAAGACACCTCCTTGTTCAGCTCTGCACTCTGAAAATCAAGCAGGAAGAAGGTGATGGAGGGGACCGGCTGGGAGGCCCTGGAACCCCCTGGCTCCATGGGGGAAGAGGGCTGGCACCTTGTTATGGAACCATTCCTCGGCATCGCGGCGGTTCCTCTCCGCCATGGCCTCGTACTGCTCTCTCATCTCTGCCAGCACGCGGGTCAGGTCGATGCCAGGGGTAGCATCCATCTCCACGTTGACCTGGCCTATCACCTGGTTGCTGAACTCTTTCATCTCCTGTGGGGATGGGAGAGGAAGAGGTGTGAAGCTCCTCACCTTCCCTCTCCTTGGCTCTGGATGCTCTGGGAGCGTTCTGGAAGGCCTTTCCAGGTCCCGCGTGGAGGGCTGAGTCTGGCCGCAGCAGACCGCTCGCCTTTCTCACTGGAAGTGATGCAGCCACGGCAAGCCTGCGCTCCCTCTCACCTCCTCGTGGTTCTTCTTCAGGTAGGCCAGCTCCTCATTCAGGCTCTCGATCTGCATCTCCAGGTCGGCTCTGGACAGGGTCAGCTCGTCCAGCACCCTGCGCAGGCCGTTGATGTCGGCCTCCACACTCTGGCGCAGGGCCAGCTCGTTCTCGTACCTAAAGGATTTTTTTTTTTATTATTGAAAAAGCCACACAGAAGTGACATTAGACACTCGCCCTGCACTGGGCTCTGCTACTCCTCCAAGACCTTCACTCCTGAGAAGCCCCAATTTCATTGTTCAGATGAGCATTTGTCTCAAACAAGAGACTGCCGGGAAAAGTGAATGAGAGAAATAAACTCACTTGAGCCTGAAGTCATCGGCAGCCAGCCTGGCATTGTCGATCTCCAGAATGACCCGGTTGTTGTCGATGGTGGCCGCCAGGATCTGCAAAATACGGAATGTAACCGCTGGAGGTTCCGTGAGCTTGGAGAGGAGGGCTGAGAAAACATGGGCGCGACTGGTTGTCATCAGATTTCTCCATATGAGCTGTGCCTCGGTTCCTTTTCTGCTAAGTGAGGGGCGGGCCAGATCCCTTTGGTTTGTTCTGTTGCTGTAGCTATCTATGTCTGGTCGTGATGGGGAAGATCAGGATGTGCATTTCAAGGGACCAACCTCACCAAAATCATCTTTGGTCGGTCACGTCTCCACAGCCTCAGACTGGCAACCCATCTGGGCCACTGTGTCGAGAAACCTCTCAGGAGGAAGTCAATCTGGCTGCATGCACTTCATAATACTTGCAATGGAGCTGGCCTCCCAAATGAGTGGAAGAAAAATCTAACGAATATACCTATTCATTTGAATTCCTTGTCTATACTTTTATATTCCAAAACATTTAAATCCACCCCTCAAATCTTGGACTCAGCCCAGGAAGGTGGATTTCTGTTCCATCAAGCTGGCATCACAGTGTGATGGACAGGCCATGGAGGGAATCTCGGCTTAACACTGCCTGAGCCTCTGCTCCATCTACCCCACATGGTTGCAGCCAACTGACAATAAGAGTTTCAATGGTCCCCAGACCAGTGAATGAACTTGTATCCCTTTGTCTGTTGATTTTAGTCATTCTTAGTGGCTTTTAAAACTGTCATGGCTTCCAAATAACTCAGTGGGTTAGGACCATAAAGATTGAGTCACTAATACCATAACTGTTTGGAAAACAGTAAAAATGTCGACATGAGTAATAACAACAATGAAAACAAGGAATGGGAGAACGTGCATTGGGAGGGTTATAGCATGAGAAAGCCCATCAGGAGTAGAGATGCTTGGTAGTAAAAGACTAGAGTTTTCCCCCACAGGAAGAGTGAGAATCTCATCCCCACTGCAACTTCCAGTCCCCTGGAGTACTGCGTTTCCTGTCTTTCTAGGCTCTGCCCTGCACAGAGGAGCTCTCCTCGGCATCCATGGTCTCACCTTGTCCCGGAGCTCCTCTATGATCTTGTAGTAGTGGCTGTAGTCACGCTCCGGGCTGACTGGGCTCTGCTTCTGGTGCCAGTCGCGGATCTTCACCTCCAGGTCAGTGTTGGCCTCCTCCAAGGCACGCACTTTGTCCAGGTAGGAGGCCAGGCGGTCGTTGAGGTTCTGCATGGTGATCTTCTCATTGCCAGAGAGGAGGCCGCCATCGCCACCACCAAAGTCACCAAAGCCACCTCCAAAGCCACCTCCAAAGCCACCTCCAAAGCTACCTCCAAAGCCACCTCCAAAGCTACCCCCAAAACCACTACCAGCCCCTCCACCAAAGCCGCAGCTCACGCCACCCCCATAGCCCCCAGCTGATCCCCCAGAGACAAACCGGGTTGAACAGGCAGAGATATTGCGGCCTCCTCCCAGCTGGCAGGAACCACCCCCGAAACCACCTCCATAGCTGGCGGAGGAGCTCTGCAGACGACAGCTCATGGTGAGAGCAAGATGGAGAGCAGGTGTGAACAGCTTGGCTTGGCCTGGGCTGAGGACTGTGGTTCTTCCCCCTGTGGATGCCTTTTATACACTCTCCACAGGGGTTGGACAATCGCCCCATCTTTTCTCCTCCCTTCCCCACCCTCTGACTGGTGCCAGCTACACATCTGTTTCCCACAAGCTCAGTTACCTCTGCTCACCAGGGTGGGTTGTGCCTTTGCGGGGGGTGGCTTTTTTTTTTTTTAATCCTTAACAAAAGGGATGATTCAGAGGGAACGGTGTTCTTCTTGAGACTATCTTTTGACAACTGGATTCTGTTTCACCTCCCCACTTAGGGAGCTCACTCCCATAGGCTCTCAGCCCCACCCAATGTTAGAATGGGGACCGAGCTGCAAAGGCTTCTCAGAGAGAGGTGGCTGCAAAATGGCCTGGTGCTTTGCCAGGTCACCGCGGCCCTCAGCCTCCCTTCCTTCTATTTCTAAAACTTCTGACTCAAGTGTTCTGCATCCTTCTTAGCAGTTCATCTATTCAAGTGCCTCCAGCGACTCTGATGACAAACTTTGCTTGGTCCTATAGCATCAACTATTTTCAAAGTGTTTAGGCTGAGAAAAAGATGGCTGCAAGACCATCGGATAAAGTCACAAATGGCAAGGAACCTTAGGGACCATCCAACACGACTGGGGAAATTGAGGCACAGAAATTGAGGCACATTATAAAAGCTACTGCTCTCAGATCCCTCCCCACAATGGGTACTGGGCTAAAAACTTTGTTCTCACTGTCTCATTTCAACTTTGCAGCAGCCCAGTGAAGAGGGTCCTATGATTATCCCCATTTACACATGAGGAGACTGAACCCTAAGGGCAGAGTCAGGACTGAAACCCATGTCTGGTTCTGTCTGACAACGAAGACTCATTTTTAGGTATGTTCTTTATATAATAAGATGTACAAATCATGCATCCAGCTTAACGCATTTTTACCCGTGTATAAAGTTTTCAGCATGTGTTCGCCTGTGCACCCACCACCCAGAACATTCCCAACACTCCGTAAAGTTCCTTGGGCCTTTTCCCAGTCAATTACCTACACCCCACACCCCTAGGACAACAATATTCCAACTACTGTCACCATAGATCAATTCAGAGGTCCTCGGCTCAGGGTTGTTTTATTTCCCAGGGGACATTTGACAATGTCTAGAAATATTTTGGTTGTCACAACAGGGGGATACTCCTGGAATCTGGAGGGTAGAGGCTAGGGATGTTGCTAAACATCCTCCCATGCACAGGGACGCCCCTACGACAAAAAATTCTCTGGCCCAAAAGGTCAATAATGTTGATGTTGAGAAGCCCTGGGTCGGCCTGACCCGTGCGTTTCATCACTCCATTATATCGGCTGCCTTGGAGGCACGGCCAAGCCCAGAAAGAAGGTCTTGCAATACCTAAGCAGAGCCTTTTCTAGCTCCCCGACCACAAGACATCTGCCTCAGCTTGTGAGTGTTTAACCAAGAGGTCACATAGGAGAATGTGACACAGAGCCTGGGGCCAGGGTCTCTGCCAAGAAGCCTGGGACAGACACAGCTGAAACTGAGCCACTGGTGTTTAGTAACCACTCAGGCTGGAAGAAAAGGGCCTTGGGGTGGCCTCTCCAAACCCAGAAGAGAAGGAGAAGTTTTCAGGGCTGAGATTGGAGGACCCTGGACTTCGGCTCCCAGCCCAACTCACCAAGGGGGCCAAGGTTGCTGTGAATGACCTCTAGGGAGAAGCCTTCTGGCTCACAGCAGTCAGAAGGTCTGTTGGGACCAGGTCAGGGGCTGGGGTGGCACAGACTTTAGGTTATCCTGGAAACCCCTTGGCTGATTCAGCAAGCAAGACCAGGAGAGAAGGCTCTGAGTCAGAGCTTTCTTGTCCATTGTTTTCTGCAGATAGGAAAGCGCCAGAGAGCGAGCCAGGGTGTGTTGGGGGTGCTTAAAGACCTCTGTGAGCCCAGGGACTTGGGCTGACCCCTGACCCGGCCCGGCCCTTCTGCTCCAAAATGATGGCTCAGCTCTCTCTGAAAAGACATGATTCAGTCCAAAGCAGTCACTCTCCCTCTCTCAGCAGAGGATCAAAACTGACAAGAAGGTGATTAATGGAACCTGCCAGGCCTAGATTGATGATCTTCCTGGGGCTGTTGAGCAGGTTCTGCCAACGCCTCTCAGAGGAACAATACGAAAGATCCTGCACAGCCCCAGCAGTACAAACACTGGTGGCCATGACATGCCTCCCCTCACAGGGTCAGGGCTTGGCCCCTCTCCACCCCAGCAGGCACTTGTGGTGCCTCAAGACAGGACTGCCCCTCTGACCCTTATGGGCCCACAGGGCAGGCAGACACATGTTGGGCCCTCCTGGAGGAAGCTGGGGAGAAGCCCATCTTGGGGACCCAGTTACTTGAGCTTCTTGCTTTGCTTTCTGACAAAATGACACCAAATTCAGTCCCTTCCCCGATAACATTTCCAGGAAAGAGAGGAAAAGCAGCATTCAGGAGCACCCCCAGCAAATGAGGCTGCACTGAGCACCGGTCACTAAGTCCACACGACAACGGGACAGGGTTTTATTGGCCCCATTTACAGATGAGGCAGCTGGCGTCCAGGGAGGCCAAGTCACTTGGCCAAAGTCACCATGAAGTCAAGATTTAAACCTGGCCTCTGGCTCTTTCTACCCAACCTCGTGTTGTCTTGGAGCCTTACTACGAACTCATTGCATGATCTCTGGATGCTCTACTTGTGTTAAAAGATAATAAAATAGCACTAGCTAACATTTCTTAACACTGCGTTAAACACGCTACATGCATGACCTCATTTGGTCCTCAAAAGAACTCTATTATTTTTGTCATACCCTTTTTTTCAGGTGAGGAAACTGAGGCCCAGAGAGATTACATACATTACCTAAATTCGATTGGTTAGAGCCAAGATTTAAACCTCTGACTCCAGGGTCTGTGCCCTTAACCACTGCCTAGTAAATCCCTTTCAGGCCAGTGTTAGCACCATCCCATCCAAGCAAGGGTGTCCTGTGATATCATCTTTATTTCCAGGACCCCATCATCCCAGACCTGGCTGGTGTATGGTCTTGCTTCCCACAGCGGCTGTTGGTCTGATGGGTCAGCCCGTCTGCTGTCTGTCTCTGGTGTGAGCACTAAAGCTCGGGGCTTGTGGGGGTACCCACTCAACATGAATGTCAGAGCCAGGATTGTCTAGGGAACTTTCCCATCCAACCCCCTCATTTTACTTGTGGGTAAACTGAGGCCCAGAGGGCCAAGGTCCAAAGCAGTGGGGAACAAGGAGAAATGTCTGGATTTCCAGCTCTACCTCCAACTCATCACGGGCCTTACAATGAAATAACTTCTAAGTTTCCTTCGGCAATTTCCATTCTGAGTCTCTGGTTCTCAAAAGTTTGTCTGTGGTCGCTAGACTGTTCATCTGCAGAGCTGAGGCTTGCATCCTGTCCCCAAGCTCCTAATCCAGGGTTCCTTGCTTAGACCTGAGATCAGGCTCCTCCCTCCTCTTTACTTCTCTCCCTGGACCACGAGGGACCCAGAGCCAGGATGGCTGACCCACTTCCCAAAGGGTCTTGAGGCTCTTCCCCAGGGGAGGGGCCTCTCCTGGAAGGCAGACCCTCCCCAGATAGCAGACCGAGGCCCTGTGGGCAGCTCCCCACCCTCAGAAACGCCTGTTTGGCACAGCGGTCCCCAAGAGCCTTCTCCAGACTAGCCTTAATGCCTCAGACTCTTATGTTTCTATAGCACCCAGCTTTCTAAAATTCTTTTTATATCCCCCAGGGCTTCCCAGAGGCTGGCAAAGGCTTTGAATTAGGTGGGCCTGAGTTTCAACCTTACATTTGCCATCGACTAGCTATGTGACCTTGGAAAAGTCACTCAACATTTCAGTGCCTCAGTGGCTGAAACTAAAAAACAGGCATTAGATGAGTTAGCATTTGAGAAGCTCGGCAGGAGGACGGCTGCTTCTCCTTCCCTTCTACAAATGAGGAAATGCCAGCTCATAGTTGTTAAATGACCAGTCCGAGAATTCTTCTGGGACTCCATCCTGTGTCAGCACATTGTTTTGCCTCCCTCTCTGGTCCCTGCAGCCGGTACAGCAACCAGACAAGTGACAGTTGGTGGCATCTCTATCTTATTTGCCCACTCAGTCTTACATTTCCTGACGACAGGTCTTTGTCTAATAAACCTCTGCGCACTGCTCCCGGCAGAGGAAAGTTCTTCATAAAGGCCTGAGAAGCTATTTCAGGGGTACACTGTCTGCTGGATTTGGGTGAGAAGGAGTGGCAAACGGGAGCAAAATCCAGTGGAGTCACTCCAGTTCCAAATCTCATGGGAAAAGCTGCCAGCTTCTCATTTCTCCCTGTGCCACTAGCTGCCTATGGAGGGATGAGTGACCACCAGATGGGCACACACCCAAGATGCTAGTGAACATCCAGAGCCATGTCCAAGACAGGAAAAAGCAAAGGAGACTAAGTGCATAAATTAGTTCAACAAGATTTTATTTTGCACCCACTCTGAAGACACAACAGTGCATAGAGTGGACATGGCCCTGCTGTCACAGATCTCACAGTACGGACTCCCCTCTGAAGTCCAAGGACACAGATTAACTCACAGAGATCTTCGAGATCACCATGCCCAGACAGATTCTTCCATTTAAAGGGGGGGAAACCGAGACCCAAGAAGGGACAGCAACCCGTCAAAGTCCTCAGAGAGTAGTGGCAGGCATGCCCCATGCCTGCTCTAGGAAGCCCAACCCGTACAGCGGACACGCCCAAGGCCCTAATCCTTAGTCCCAAAGCCACCCTCTCTCTGAAAGAAAAAGGCTACATACCTCCCAGATTGGCTGGGATCCAAGCCCAACCTCAGCCCAGGGGCAGGCAGAAGGCGGCAATCTCTACGGCACACTATTTAAGGGCTCAGCTAGGCATGAGTTATCCCTGGGCACGGGCATCTCATTCCAGGGTCAGGCAGGGGACAACTTGGCAAGTCCAAAGACCTCTCTGACAGCCCCTCTGGAATCCCAGGAAAGCAGGAACGGGCACCCCAAGGAGAGAGAAACAGCCTTCCTCTCTTCCAGCTCAGAGGTCTGCTCTGAGAGAAGGCTGGCAGGAGGAGGGCCAAGCCCCACCTTGCCTCTCTGCATCAGAAGTGGTTATTCTTGCAAACCAAAGACTGAGAAAACCCTTTGCTGGCCGCTTAGAAGGCTTGAGACAGAGGCCCAGAGGTCTGAGGTGAGGCAGGAACAGCAGCCAGGCTGTTGGGTCCAAGTCTCAAAAAGGAGCCTAACTGTTCCCAGCATGTTGAGGACATGGCACCTGGTGCTTTGGGCTTCAGCGTGAGCTTAAACCTCGGCATGAGAAACCAAGGTTAGCTGAAAGGACAATCTTTCCAACCATAATGGCTGTATGACCCTTGAAAAGGCTACCCACAGAGGTCAAGAAGTGGGTTTCAGATTAGCCCACGCTCGTAAGAAAGGCGTGGCCATCTTCGGTCACCCTCGTGACATCAAGGCTAAAGCAAGGGTCTGGAATCAGAGAGACGGCCTCAACCCAGTTTCACTATTTCCCAGCTTATGACTTCGTTCACGCTACTTAACTTCCCTGGGCCTCAATTTCCTCTTCTGAAAACTGACGCCGAAGACCGACCCGCCTTCACAAAGCTGCTGAGATAGTGAATGAGATGCCATCCATTGAATGCCCTGCCCAGAGGCTGGCACAGTGTAGGTACTTAATAAATTCCATCTCCTTCCTCCAGCCTCAGGGAAGCCTGGCCTCAAAGTGTATACTCAAGAGACATATTCTAGATTAAATCTCCCCCAGAAAGCTGATGCCACCTTCTCTCCAACGGAGGGTTGCTGGGCAAGGAGTTTCACCCAGAGAGACTCAAGGAGCCCTCTCAGAGGGCTTGGCTCTCCCCCCAAATGATCTGATTCTCAGGATAACAGAAGTACCCCCAAACTTCTCTCCCCCACAGGACTAAGAAACCAGCTCTCCTTCTCCCCTCAATCCTCACCCGAACCCAGCACGGCACCCAGAATTCTCTACTTCCTCATTCCCTGCCCTCTCTCCAGGGCCAAGAATCTCAGAGGAACCAGACCCAGACCAGAGGCAACAAATCAGGTGTGCGTAAATGCAGCTGCTCTAATGGGCCCAAAGGTGGAGATGCTGGGGACAGGGGAATAAGAGCGGTATTTGGACCGAGAAGGGCAATAGGAGTCGGTGTTGCTTTGGATTGAAGTTTAGGGAAATCGGGGAGGGCTTCCTGGAGGTGGTGTCTTTCATCCTGAGCATTTTAAGTGTCTCTCTTCCTGAGCATTTTAAGTGTCTCTTTCAGGGGAAACAGCAGCTTCAGGGGGATGAGAGCCAGCTTTGCACGGGAGCAGAGATGGGAATTGGCTCAGCCACCCTGGAGGTCAGGTACGCCTGGCTAGAAAAAAAGGGAAGGTTCAAATAGCACATGTGGTGAGGGCAAGAAGCGAGAAGTAGGGTCTTGGAAATGAGCTTTGAAGAGATGGGGCCTAGGGTCCTGGAAGAAGCCCTGGTCTTGGAGTCATACCGACACGGACCCAGTTTCAGCCCTGCTGCTTATTATCCATCCATGAGGCCACTGGGCAAGCCACACATCTTCCCAACTTCCTCATCTCTAAGTTGCTCATCTCATCTCCAAGTTTCCTCATCTCTAAGATGCAAGTAATCAATCCTGGCCGCCCATAGTTATGAATGTTAAATGAAATCCATGGGTGGGTGTGCCTAGCACCATGCCAACCATACAGCGGTGAACCAATACAATCCATGCCTTCATTCCGTAAATAATTAGTCAATGCGTCAAGTTCTGTGCTAAGTGCACAAAACTGCTTCGAGGAACCAACCCACCCCACCCTCATCGCCTGCTTCCATGATCACCAAATGGAGTAAACCAGAAGAGCAACTTATTTGAGCAGCTTGGATTTGTCCCAGGCAGCCTGGGCACCTCAAAGAATGAATTATGATCATGCGAGGAAGAGGACAATGTTGGGGGAGATGTCAGCATGTGTGCCCTGGGCCTCCTCAAAGGCCCCGACAAGAAAAAACTGGACATGCTACCAAAAGATATTTGCAAAAGGAGAAGCAATTCTTTATTGCATGGACAGATACAGTAAAAATGAACTCGTGACACAATACAGCCACTGTTTGCACCTCCCTGTTCTAAAGGAGGTGGGGAGAGATGGAGGGCAGAAGGAGGGAGAGCATCCAGAGCTCCGGACTAGGAGATGAGGGACCCTCTTGAGCTGGACCCTTTGAAGACAGAAACGAGTTTACTTTTCCAGCCCCTCTAGCCAGTCCTCTGTTAAGCCTAGGGAAGGTAGGACTGGTGGGGAACGTGTGTCCTGCACTAGGTGCTTAGATTTCTCTCTTTCGGGAAGAAACCACCTTCCCATCCACTGACTCCTCAACGTTGATGTGGAGTTTGCCGCTGCTGCCGCCTCCCAGGGAGGCTGTCGAAAGAAAGAGCAAGTTTTAGATTGGGGGACCCTCTCCATCCCCTCCACTCCCAAGGGGGCCAGGACCTTGGCTGAGCTCCAGAAGAACTGGACAGTACCCCTGAGAATGGCCGTTGGCCAATCCTTCAAGTGCTGCCAGAAAGGCTATTGTTGAACTACTCATCACAGGCATGGGTGGTGGTGGTGGCAGGTATGCCCCACAGTGAGCAAGAATGGCAGGGTTTTTAACTGCACATTAACAGGAAGTAATCATGTGCATTTTGGCATAAGTCCATGAAGGTGGGACCTGGACAGAGGCTTCTTGACCTGGAAGTTTCTCAGTAAATCTTTAACCCCAACTTTACTGGGGCTGACAGAGGGTTCCACTGGAAAAGAGGTGTCAACTGGAATGGGCATGTCCTCACTCTACTGGGATGATTGACTTCTTTCTCCTTCCTCCCCATTCCAAAGAGAATGATGGTTTTGACAGCTCCCCTCCCCCTAGAAAAGAGCTAAGCCTACTTACCTTCTCTGGTGCCAATGCCAGCCATCCTGGAAAAGGGGGAAATAGATGTAAGCAAAGGCAGGAGCTCAGATTGCCCAATGGGAGGCCCTGGTGGCTGGCTCAGCGTTCCTCCCCAGCTCCCACACCATCACCACCCCCACATCTGACTTCTCCAGAGGCTGAGAGCCTACCCAGATCTGCCACCCCCCAAGCAGATAGATTCCAACCTACAATAACACCTGTTTCATGTATGGAGTAGAATCAGCATTAGCCTAACCCCTGTCATTTACAGAAAACACACAGGTCCAGAGAGGTGACATAACCTGCCCAAGGTAACAACCGAGGACCTGAGCACAGAATCCAGAGCCCTCTCTCCTCACGCCCAGTTCTCTGGCACTGCTGCTGAATCCCTAAGATGATTCTCCACCTGGACCACAACCGGCCCCTCCCTCATTCCTCCCTCTGCACACTGCCCCTGCCTGGCATCCTGGCCCTCGAGCAGGCTGCGGTAGGTGGCGATCTCCTGCTCCAGCCGCGTCTTGATGTCCAGCAGGATCTTGTACTCCTGGTTCTGAGCCTCCATCTCACAGCGCAGCTCACTCAACTGGGTCTCCAGGCCACTGATGAGCCCCTGGATCTGCTGCAGCTGCGTGGCGTAGCGGCACTCGGTCTCCGCCAGCGAGCTCTCCAGCCCGGCTTTCTGATGGAGCAACAGATCAACAGACACCACATCAGGCTAAAAGGAAGCCACTGGGGGCATGGGGAGAGGTGTCGAATGCATGCAGGGAACCTCCTCTTCGGGGGCTTGGGAATGATAAGGCTTAACCAACCACGGAGGGTGGAAGAGACTGGGGCGAGGTGGGGTGAGATGGAGTAGAATGGGGTGGGGTGGGGTGGCCATACCATGCTGAGCTGGGACTGCAGCTCAATCTCCAGCCCCTGCATGGTGCGTCTCAGGTCTGTGATCTCTGTCTTGCTAGTTTGGATCATCTCTGTGTTGGAGGCCACCTCCTTGTTCAACTCCTCGGTCTGTAGGTCACACACAGAGTAATGAGCCCGTGGGCCTCCTGGGAGCCCTGGGGAGCTAGGGAAGGCGAGGAGGTCAGGCCCACCTTGCTGAAGAACCAGGCCTCGGCATCACGGCGGTTCTTCTCTGCGATGGCCTCATACTGCTCCCTCATCTCCGCCAGCACGCGGGTCAGGTCCACACCTGGGGCTGCGTCCATCTCCACATTGACCTGGCCGGCCAGCTGGCTACTGAACTCCCTCATCTCCTGCAGGGTAGGTGGGGCCCATTTAGACACAGAGGGCAGAAGAGAGAGTGGAGAGTCTGGGGTCCCCCATATGCCAATCCTGGCTCTGTCCCTACTTCGCTGCATGAGCTTGGCTCTCCCCCGTACCCTCCCAGCCTCTGTTTCCCACTGCTCAGGAGGACTTTTGACCACATGGGCCCCTCAGCTCTGGGGGTCTCTCTCCCTCTCTAGGTGCTACCAAGGGAAGACCTCAAAACAGTAGGGCCTTTGCATGAACTCGTAAAACAAATCGGGACGACGGTTCCCCCGGCCACCTGGCCTGGCTAAAGATCAGAGAAGGAAAAGGGTCTGTGTCACCAGAGAACAATGGCTCTTCCTCTCCATGGGGACCCCTGTTTTTTTTGGGGGGGGTGCATTTTTGAAACTCTAAGCCCTTCGGCCAGCTGTGAGGAGGCGCCAGCAGCCCAGCTCTGCTCTCGCCACCCCCACCTCCTCGTGGTTCTTCTTCAGGTAGGCCAGCTCCTCATTCAGGCTCTCGATCTGCATCTCCAGGTCGGCTCTGGACAGGGTCAGCTCGTCCAGCACCCTGCGCAGGCCGTTGATGTCGGCCTCCACGCTCTGGCGCAGAGCCAGCTCATTCTCATACCTAGAAGAGAGCGGGAACCAAAAATAAGGAAAGGAGAGGGGTCTGGGGGAGGGAGAGAGGCCAAGAAAGCAGGGCGGGGGCGGGGAGGGATACAGAAGGGAGAGGCAGGCAGGAGCGCACTTGAGTCTGAAGTCGTCCGCAGCCAGCCTGGCGTTGTCTATCTCCAGGATGACCCGGGAGTTGTCGATGGTGGCTGCCAGGATCTGCAGGAGACGGGGAGCTGGTGTCAAGAGGGTCCCTTCTTCTTTCCTGCTGCTCTCCCTACCTGTGGCCCCCACTGACAATTTCTCCTCTGCTGCCACCAACAGAAGCCTATAGGGTCCTCGGGCAGAGTCCAGCCTTATCTCAGTACTCACTACTTGGTCTGCCCCTGTCTCCAGGACATGACAGACCAAGGAGCCAGGATTGTCTAGCACTGCCTGGGAGAAATAACCAGCCAAGACTAGTAAGGTACAGGGCACTGTGACAACAACCTCCTCGGGGATACTCCACCAACCTCCCCTTGAACAGCTCGGGGTAGCCGGTCTCCTGCACACTTTGACACAGCCAGAGATCTACACAGAACATTCCGGCCATCGAGAACCTGGCGGGCAGCTGAGGAAGGCATCTTATAGCTGAGGAAACCGGTACAGGCAAGTGGAAGGGTGAGTGAGCGGGTGGGTGGCAGAGCCTGTGAGTTCCAGGTCTCCTAAGTCCCAACAGTGCTTTTGGCACCAAAAACATCCTCGGAGGATGAGGCAGGAGGCACTCAGGGCTCCTGAAGCTACACTCATCGTTCTTGCAAAAGAAGCAAAGGGACACATACAGAGCCTGTGTCAGGGAGCCCGAGTCCGGGGCAGGGAGAGTGACTGCTCCTTGTCATTGCGCCCACCTCGGCCCCCGCTGGTCCTGACCAGATCCCCAGGATTCACCCCACATTGCCAAGCTGAGTGGATGTGTGCCGACATCCACACCACGCTCCAAGTTTGCGAAGGTCACACACCAGCAGTCATTGCCCGGGCAGGAAAGGCTTTCTTCAAGGAGCACTGATGTTAGAGACGCATGTGCAGGCCACCAGTCACCTGCCGCATCCCGCTGACCCCCGAGGACTCACCTTGTCCCGGAGCTCTTCTATGGTCTTGAAGTAGTGGCTGTAGTCACGCTCTGGGCTGGCCGGGCTCTGCTTCTGGTGCCAGTCACGAATCTTCACCTCCAGGTCGGCATTGGCCTCCTCCAGGGCGCGCACCTTGTCCAGGTAGGAGGCCAGGCGGTCGTTGAGGTTCTGCATGGTGATCTTCTCATTGCCAGAGAGGAGGCCGCCATCGCCACCACCAAAGTCACCAATGCCGCCGCCAAAACCCCCACCAAAGCCACCTCCAAGGCTACCTCTAAAGCCTCCACCGAAACCACTACCAGCCCCTCCTCCGAAGCCATAGCTCATGCCTCCTCCAGAGCCCCCTCCTGACCCTGAAGAGACAAACCTCGCAGAAGAAGCCAAGATACTTCGGCCTCCACCTCCTGCATAGAGACTCCCTCCACCAAAGCTGCCTCCCCCAGCTCGGAGGGAACCCCCCCGGGTAGAGCCACCCCCAAAGGTGGAGGAAGAAGTCTGCAGAAACGTGGTGCTCATGGCCAGGCAGCAGCCGACGAGTTCTCAGAGAGCACAAGAGACGCTGGCAGGAGGTACAGGTTTCCTGAAACCAAAGTGCTACGCCTGTCACCCCCCAGCCTGGGGCTCCTTATGTACCCCTTGGAGGGTGTTGTGGGTTCACGTCTCCTCCCCCAAAGGGAAGCCAACTCCTTCTGCATTCCTGACAAACACAGCTGCCTACTCGCCTCAATGTGTGATTTTTCTTTTCTTTTTTTTTTAATGCAACAAAAGAGATGATTCAGAATGAAAGATGGTGTTTCGCCTCCAGCCATGGTTTTAACACTTGGATTTCAGGTTCATCTCTACACTGCAGAATACGGGGAGCAAAGTCGCATCACAGCACAGCAGCGCCAGAGCAGCTCGGGCCACTCTCTGCCCTCAGCTGGGACCCTCACCCCTAGGTGTCCAGCTACCTGCTCTCAGTTCCCATCACTGCTCTGTATTGTCCCCCTCACAGTCCCCTTGTGTGTGCCTACAGGGCTCAAGCAAAGACATGGCCTCTGGGGACTGGTGAGCAGAGGCACATGAAGGGCCCTTGGGGACAGGCTGAGGACAGCGACAGGGGTCTCAAGTCAAGTTCCAGCTGAGGTGACCAAAAAGGCCAGCATCTGTCACTTCCCTAATGGTGCAAATGGACTCTCCTCCTCCACCCCTCACCTCTCCTCCACCTCTAGCCCCAGCCCCACTACTCTGGCATTCTCACAAAAGCCAGAAGGCTTGAGGCTGACAAGGGGCTGATTGATAATCCTGCCCCCTGCCAACCACACATGTCACTGAAACTTTGCTTGCTCCTGGGACACGTCGGGGCAAACCTCTGCAGATAAGACAGGGGCGAGTTTCAGGAAGCCCTTGCCTTCTCCGGGAGAGGCATGTTGCTGCACAGCAGGGCCAGATTAACCCCATTTGTCCTGTGGAGCTGGGGAGAGACCCTATGTAGAGGCTCTACTTGCCTGAGCTATGGGAAGGGAGGAGATAGGGAGGCCTGGCAGGAAAACCGGGGAAATCTTGCAGGCAGAGGCACCACTTCACAGAGCAGGATGCTGAGGCCAGAGAGGGGAGCCCTTTTCCCAGGCACCAGCTCAGGGACTGGCTTGACAGGGATACCAGATACCTGTGAGGAGTGCCACTTGGAGGTGCGGCTTTAGCTCCAGTCCTTAGGGAAGACAGGGGTTGGAGAAGTCAGCAAGCCTGAGCTGGAGAGTCAGGAGGAGGATTCCTGGCCCAGGGCTGCAGCACGGTGAAGTTAACAGGGCTCTGGGGTCCCCCAGCCCAAGGTTCAAGTCCCGCCTCTCTCAATCACTGCCTGTGACACCTCGGATGCATTGCCTTTAAGTCTCGGCTTCTTTGTGGCGAGGGGCACTTGCAGTGCCCACTTACGGGGAAGCCCCGAGGCCCAAGAGCCTCCCTCCTGCCTCCTCCTGGCTCCCCATCTTCTGAGAGGCCGAATAGTGGGGTACATGTATGTCCATCACCTGGGACTCCCGAATACCCTCACCAGGAGGGACTTTTGTCCTTGGGCATCACACCACGTCCTGTGAGCAGTACTGCTCTTCCATAGTCTTCCACGGCCAGTGACTGTTAAGCAATGCAGGCCGTTGTTATTATTACTATAATAACAGTATCCCCTTACTCCCAGGGTGATGATGCACACATCAGTTTACGACATGCTTTTGCATCCAACACCTCCTCTGATCCTAATTCACAGAAGATGATCCCTGGCCCTGTTTCAGAAGGGATGAAATCGGGGCTCAGAGAGAAGTGATTTGTACAAGGTAAGGGGCAAGGCCAAGACTCAAGTGGGTCTTCTGACCCCCACACAGAGAGACAGGAAAAGAGGGTCTCTCCCACAGACCCCATATTCCTGCACCTGAATTGGGGTGGTGGGAGGGGGACCACCAGCCTGGGTGAGTGGGCATGGGCTCCTCCTCACCCAGCATCACAGCGAGCTCAGCCTCTAAGTGCTAGTCCCAGACAGTGTGGTATTGTCTCATGGGTGGGAGGATATTGTCTTCCTCCAAAAGAAAAATAATCAAAGTCAGATCAGCCATAGCTCATTAAAGCCTCTGCAGACATTACGGCCCCAGCAATTAACGGAGGAACAATTACACATCATCACCCTGGGGCGAAGGAGGGCTGGACCCTAGCCAACCCCTCTCCTGCACGCTGATTCCCCTCCAGCCGCCCCTCAGGGTGGCTTTCCCTCCACTCTCAGGCCCAAGTGGGCGGCAGCTGCCCCAGTTACAAACCCCTGTTGATTCGATCCCAACAGCTCCTGTGAGCTCAAGGTCCAGGTGGGGCCGTGGGGCCTGTGCATTAGTGCCAGGTGAGGGTGGCTGGCCAGGGCGTAGATCAGGCTCCGTCCGGCCTGGCTGAGGCTGAAGCCCCGGGCCCCGCCCCAAGCAGGATGCTGTGTCAATTTCAGAAATTCGTCCGCTACAGACAGACAGGCCATCCCTAGAGATGGTCTTTTTAACTTGGGATCGGGTGATGCAGCCCAGTGGAAAAAGCCAGGACTGGACTCCACTTCTGGGTGTGACTCAACCTCTCTGAGCCAGGTTCCTGACTTGAAATTGGGCCATTTTTCCATTTATATGAGGTACTTAGAGTAGTTAAAATCATGAAGACAGAAAGCGTAATGGTGGTTGCCCGGGGCTGGGTGGGTGGAGGAAATGCGGAGTTATTGTTTAATAGGTTTAGAGTTTCAGTTTTACAGGATTTACAGAGAAAAGGTTATGAGGAGGGATGGTGGTGATGGTTACACAACAATGTGAATTTATTTAATACCACTGAACTGTACACTTAGAAATGGTGAAGGATATGTTTTCCCACAATAAAATTTTTTTAAAAGTTGGGCCTTAACACGGACCCTAGCTCCAGGGCCGTGAGCATTTGATGGCACATGGAGAGAGAGGTCTCCATAAATGATAGAATCCACACTCACCACCAAGACCCCCAAGGGAGATGCTAGGGACAGAGCACATGACCTGGGGCCTAGACACCTACCTTTGCATTCCTCCTTTCTCATGTATTATATGTGGTTTTGGGTAATGGCTCTCTCTGAGCCTCAGTCTACCAATCCAGAAAATGGAAATAATTCCTGCCCATCTGACTCAGGGATGGAGCCATACAGCCGACAGGACGTGCCTTTTGCAAACAGAAGTAGTCATATGGCTAGTAGGGATGGCAAGACCTCGCTGCACCCCAATTCTCCTCCCCCTTCCTCTTTCTCCCTCGTAGCTATTCCAGCCGTTTCTGTCAACAGGGTACCCCTAGTTTCAGCTCCCAGACTGAGAGAGGAAAGTGTCCCCGCCCTTGCCCTCCCCCACTCACCCACACACACAAAGAACAGCTTCATTCTCGACACTCAGACCTGTGACCCAGTCACCTGCCCCACCTGTATGGGTCCAGACCCCACCCTTCAGCCACATTCCAGGGGCCTCTGGGGCATGGGAGATTTCAGCTGTGACAACAGAGGCTTTCATGAACAGGGTACAAACATCTCAGGGAAGTCCCAACCTGGGGGTGCAGCCAGGTCTCTGGCCTGTAGTTCCAAGGCCTCTTGAGAAGTGAGAGGGGGCTGTGGATGCTAAGGCCAGAACAGAACAGCTTGGGGAGGTGGCAGAAGGGGCTCCTGGCCCAAGGATGCAGAAGGTGAGCGGGAAAGAGCTGGACTCTAGGTCTAGGGTCACCGGTTGTATGATTTGGAGCAAACTAATGAAATTCTCCAAGGCCCCAAGAAAAATGGCAGAAAGAGCACCTCCTTCAAGATTAGTAAGGGAATGACAGGGTCACAGGCCTCCTTAGAATGACGTTGGGCTCCAGGCAATAGGCATTCCATTCTCCTACTGACCTTCTGGGGTGGGGGTAGTGTTCCTGGCTTGTCCCTCTCCCTCACAGGAACCAGCCTCTTTTGGCCTGAGGGACAAGGGAGTGACCAGGCTCAGGCCAGGAGGGTCTGGGCCCTGACGTGCCCATCTCCATAGGGCCTGAACAGATCCACTCAGCCTGAACCTCTCAGCCAGGGCGAAGTGGGAATTATTTACCTTTAATTGGCCTCAGTTCTTGGCAGCTGAGCTGTAAACCGCAGGGGCAGGACCATCCCCACCCAAGCTCGGAGTCGTACTAGGAAGCTGGGACTTGCTTCCCCAGCTGGCCCGAGGCTGACCTGAGACTGGCCTTAGGCGAGACCGGCCCTAGGCAAGCCCGGTTGGGGATCTGTGTGAGAGGTCTGGGTAAAGCCTGGGTCCCATTCCAGGCTCTGAGCCCAGGTATGGGCTGGTGGGTGTAGGTGACATTTGCGAGACTGCCTGGGAATGGTCGAATGTGTTAGTGCCTGTTCGTACACTGACACGCGCAGCAGGCACACTCGCCAGGCTTGCACTGAGCAGGATGCCTGTCCCCATTATGCAGGCTCTGACCCCAAAGCCCCAGTTTTTCCTTCTGTCAAGGGAAGAAATGTCAGGAAGAACTGCCCCAGGGAATCCCAGTGCGAGGCCTTCACATGGAGCAAGAATGAAATGTACCGAGGACCTGGCACAAGTGGTGTCAATCCTAGGAGGGGTGTGGAATTGGCACTGTGGGTTACAAATCGGGAAACCTGGCTTCTGGTCCTGACTCTGCCATGTAGTTGCTACACGGCCTCGTTTCCTATTTTATAAGATGCAACTCTTACTTACTACCTTTTAAGGTTGTTTTAATGAAGTGGCACACAGTAAGGTGCTCCGTAAACATTAATTTCATACATACAAATGCCAACCCTTGGAGAGGTATAGTGGAAAGAAAACTAATCTGGATGCAAAAACCAATTTCAAATCCCACCTCTGCCGCATGTTAGAACATTTACATATGCAATAAACCATTTTACCTCTCCCAAGCCCTCTGTAAAATGGGAGCAATGCTTTATTTCATAAGCTTGTGTTAAGGAACAGGTTAGATAAATGAAGACTTCTGCAAACAAGATTAACCCTGACAATCAGAGTTTGTGAGCACCCTCCCTTCCCTCTCCTGGGACAGGGTGGACTCTGGTCCAAATAAAATATAAGCAGGGCCAAGGCCTGGCCCATTTCTATGGGCTGAAATAATAAACCCGAAGTCCTTCCTCCTTTGGGCCATAAAGTTTTATTGGCAGGTCAGGCAGAGAGCCAGAGGTAAGAGTCCCTCCCTTCCCATGCTTCTACCCAGGGGCATCCCTTTGCTGGAGGGCAAGAAGCCCAGAAGATGCTAGACTCAGGCGGTCTTAGTGGTGGGCAGGTTGTTGTAATAGGCGTCCTGGCCCTCAAGCAGGCTGCGGTAGGTGGCGATCTCCTGCTCCAGCCGCGTCTTGATGTCCATGAGCTGCTGGTACTCCAAGTTCTGCCGCTCGGTGTCGGCACGCACGTCGCTCAGCTGGGCTTCGATACTGCTGATCAGCGCCTGGATCTGTGCCAGGTGAGCTCCGAAGCGAGCCTCTGTTTCTGCCAGCGTGCCTTCCAGGGCAGCTTTCTGAGGGCAGAGAGAAGGAAGGCGATTCAGTGGAGCCTGGTTCCCAGGGAAGACATGGGCACAGCCACTGCCCAGGCTGCCCAAGGCTTCAAGGACAGGGCAGAGGGCACGTACCATGCTGAGCTGAGACTGCAGCTCGATCTCCAGACCCTGAAGGGTACGCCTCAGGTCAGTGACCTCTGTCTTGCTAATTTGCAGCTGTTCAGTGTGGCCAGCGACCTCCCGGTTCAGCTCCTCAGTCTGCAATAAGAGAGAAGGTGGAGTGAACAGGCACTGAGGAAGATCTTCTCCTAGGAGCATCAAGCCCTCTCTCCTTGCCACCTCCCCAAAGGGCACCTGCTTCCCCCTTCATACCTGGCTGGTGAACCAGGCTTCAGCATCCTTCCGGTTCTTCTCAGCCATGACCTCATATTGGCTTCTCATGTCGCTCAGAATCTTAGCTAGGTCGATGCCTGGAGCAGAATCCACCTCCACACTGACCTGGCCACCCACCTGGCCCCTCAGAGCACTGATTTCCTGGAAAGGTATAGCAGAGATGGGCATGTCAGGGCCTAGACCCTTCTGGCCTGAGCCTGGTCACTCCCTTGTCCCTCAGGCCAAAAGAGGCTGGTTTTCAGAGGGCAGACCTAGAGGGGACAGACTGGGTCACCACCATCCCCTGCTAGAACACTGGGAGCCATGCACCACACCCATGGCCATGCTGAGGGTACAGCAAGCATGGCCACGGTCAGAGGCTACAAGATACAAAAGCGTCCTCTGCCCTGGGAAGCTGGGATGGCCCAGCCGGAACCCCACCTCCTCATGGTTCTTCTTCAGGTACGCCAGCTCTTCCTTCAGGCCTTCAATCTGCATCTCTAGGTCAGCTCTGGCCAGGGTCAGCTCGTCCAGCACCTTGCGCAGGCCATTGATATCAGCCTCCACACTCATGCGCAGGGCCTGCTCCGTCTCGAACCTTTCGGAGGAAATAGTTGCAGTCAAGCCAGCACTTCCTCTGTACCTCTGAAGACTTCCCCACCTCCCCAGGATTCCGGAGACCATGGGGGCTGGGGCTCGGACCAGGTGGGATAAGGGAGAGCAGAGTTCAGTCCTCTCACTGCACTGAGCCCCAAAAGGGCCTGGAATTGCCTCCTCTGCCCCCCCACTTGGCTTCTGCAGCCCACCCGGGCAGAGATGCTCACTTGGTTCGGAAGTCATCCGCAGCCAGACGGGCATTGTCAATCTGCAGGACAATCTTGGAGTTCTCGATGGTGGCACCAAGTATCTGGAAGGCAGAATCTGGTCAGCACCAGGTCGGCACATTGGCACTGCCCACCTACTTTCTTTCCAGAGACAGGGGAACAAGAGAGTATGCCCCCACTCCCTAGGGACAAGCTCCAGCCACCCCTCAGCTGCCCGCAGGCTTGCTCCCTGGGAGGCCTTGGAATCAGTCCCTGCCCAGGAGCTAAAGTAGTGGTTTCTCACCACTGCCTAGGAGGCCAAGGTAGGGGGTGGGGAGGGAGCAGGGGAGGGCAAGCAGGTAAGCCTAGGGAGAGTCTGAGACCTGTGCCTGGGAAATGATTTGCAAATCAGGTGCAGGGAAGTGTAGGGGTTACCCCTTGTCTGTACCCCCAACTCAAAGCATTCAGCCTCGGGGAAGGGAAGTTGTTTGGTGGGCATCTATTAAGTGCCAGGCACTTTGCCCCTCATCTTTCATCACTAGGTCAGTGGGTACATCTATTTCATGGAGGTGGGAACTTAAGTTCAGGATTCCTCATTCAAGTTCACCCCCAATCTGAAGTCCCTCTGACCTAAAGGGCGTGTTCACATGTTCGCACCATTGATTAAGCTACTTGGATTCAGCATTTTTCAAAGAGTGGGTCATGCCGCATTAGTCATTACCCCGGGTCACCAAGTGAAACAGAACAGAAGGGATCACTCACAACAGGGTAAGAATGATTTAAGAAACTTTTATCTTCATCGTGTGTGTATGAAAAAGAGGATGTGAGGACACATCATAAAATGTTCATTCCTATTGTAGGTCACAATTTTAAAAGTGTGAAAACACTATATATCTCTAGCCCTCTCTCCTTGTCTACATTATGATCCATGTCCCCAGCACCCAGAACCATGCAAGGCACGTGATGGACACTGGGCAGTGTTGTGGAGGCCATTAAATGTCCCCCTACACATCATCAGGACGGCGCTCCAACCTCCTCCCTGTGAGTGGAGACCAAGCCCCACCCCGCAGGCTCCGTGGGGCCTGGGTAAGAGCCTGTGGCTCAGACCCCGATCTCCAGCCCAGGACAGAGAAGTGCTGCTACACCCCGTCCTCCGACAAAGGTCTCCACGAGCAAAGACCCCCGGGACCGCTGCATCCTCCACCCCTTACTCTGTCCAGGGGCCTCAGCGTATGTCTCTCCTTAACCCGCCAGGCCCCAGCGGGCCTCTTCTCGCATTCTTCCTAGAGCTTCTCTCAAGCCCCAGGTGGCCCCCTGGGCCGGGAAGGAGGGGCTTAAGGCTGAGCTTGACGGAAACCAGACCTGCCCCGCAGGAGAAAAGGAATGCAGAGGGCCCCGAACCAGAAGCAGCAGGGGTCAGGGCTCGTCCGGAGTGTACCAGGTTCCTCCCAAGCCAAACTCTCCATTTCCCTGATGCGACGTGACTGCGGTCCCTAGCCTAGACCTCAAGGCCGCCCACAGCCGTGTGCCATCTCCTCCCACTCCTCCGATTCCCTTTTCTCTGGCCACCTCATCCTCCGACCCCGCCCCCGCCACATGCCCC